TTTTTTCGAGAATAACCAGGACAATCGATAAAGGACTTTCCATGTTAGGATTTATTGATCGGAGTATAACTTCGAAATATTAGTTTTTTGCCATTTTAGTAGTGGGAGTTCATCCTCTCTGCCACTCCAGGTCCGACGCCTCTTTACCCATCGATACTATTTGTAATACTTATATTTATACTGCTTCTCATTATCGTTTTTCTTTGTCGTATTGCCCATTCTCTAGTGATTTCCTCAAAGTTCGTTCTTCCTACTTGGCGCCAAGCCCTATTGGGAGGCAGAAAATTCCTTCAGTTCATTCCCCTTCCTGCCCTTCCCTGTTATGAGCAAATCTCTCTTTGATCTCGAATTAAAAGGTGATTCTGGGAAAAAACAGGTTCATTATTGCAGCAGTTGGCTTTATTTGACGAGACTGATCAAAAAAATTCCCAAACTTCATCCTTACACCTTACTTTTCTATAAACAGCAGTATCCTGTACGCCTATCCTTCCCAACCCGAAGCATCTCTTCTAGATCTTTTTGAAGAACGGGATAGCCCACTGAGTAGAAGGCTGGATTTTCCTGTATGTACTTGAGAAAGCTTCGGGAAATAGCACTTAAAGTGGTATCGGAAACAAAGTAGGAAATATTCACGGTCTGTTGCCCTCGGCTGTTATACCCGATTCCGGTGTCTGTGCTACGTAACCTTCCAATTTCACGCTGTTTTTATTCTGTACTTTTTATATTTTCGTCATCTCTTTACCTATGGACGATTAACCCCAGAGCGCATTTGATAGTTCTGTACTTTGTGACGTAGAAGTTGGGCCACCTCCTTGATGTTTTACGCTGGATACTCTCATTTCTTGCCACAATCCCTGAGCATGACAGAGCACCGAGTCCACGGTATAGAAGCCTGCCTACAGTCGGCAATTTTTGAACTCTTTTATTTATTTATTTACTTTTTATGATTGTTTCTAAATTCAAATTGCTATTATTAATTTATTTCTAAATTCACTTATTTTTAAATATAAATTGTTAAAACCTGTCTGCTCGTCTATATGTACTTACCCGCGTGAAACCTGACTGATGATTGCTCGTTAATGCTTATCCGCACGCTGTCAATCCCAAAACGTTTCATGGGCCAAACCTTCCTCTGTGCTAATAGTTTTTATCTTCCCTCATAAATGTAAACAAATAGTCTATCCTGACAGAGCGTGGTCCCTTGACTCCAATCTGGGGAAGTTGGACTTTGATCTGGGGATCAGGGGTAGATCTCTTATCTTGTAATGTTCCTGATCAGACGCTATGTCTTTTGTGGAATGCTCGGAGGAAAGGTTCACCTGCTTTGAGGATTGTTTCGTTTCCGCTCATGTAGCGAGGTCTGACTCAGGTCGACCTTACCAGGTTGCACCACACCTCCGAGTACCCTTCGAAATTACAAAGAACAAAATAAATGCGTGGTCTTCAATGGTAAGATGTAAAACGACTGTAGTCTGACTACCTCCCTCTTCAGATAAGAACGGGTAGCTTAGGTCTATCCTCTGCTCAGAAAGAAGCTTAAATATATCCAATACGCTCGTGAGGTTGAGCCACGCACCTTCGAAGAATCATACTGCAGCAGAACGCATGCTCACATCGAATATTGGCTCTTATGAGAGAGCCAGCGCTTCGTCTTCTTAGACGTGTACTTTTTTATCTACCAGTAGAGCCTTCGTCCCTCATAAAAAGACTCATCGCAGATTTCCAGTTGCTTCCCAAACAATCTCTGCAAGCTAGCCTAGACTGGCACCCCAGAAGGGGGAAATGAGAGCATGACCATGGTGTGCGTAGTGCCTAACCCTAGGATTCGATCAGTAGGTAATGTTGACTGCTGGCGCTATGTGTCTTGCCTGGATTTCTGATTACTCTTTCTGTTTTTCTTTTATCCCTGCTAGCCTTGGGTGTGTCTACGATGGAGAGACCGAATGGTGTGACTTTCAAAAACGTGCAGACGTCGAAAAAAACCAATCGGCGGTAGAGAACTTTGACAAGCTTTGTCAGTTACGTTGCACGAAGGATAAAAAAAAACTTCTGACGTTTACCCTTTCCATCTTACCCACGTCTCGAATGGATGAATTACGATTGATTTTCTACCCGGAGTCCACTTACCCATACCCTCATACCTCATACTTCTTTCTTGAGGGGTTTTTATCAACACCGCTTGAATATTAATATTTTTGCCGTAAACAACTCAATTTGACGTTTTTCGAAGTGGTGCTCAACAGCATTGGCCTCACTTCCATTAACACAACCCCATTTACAACCTTATTACATCGTTTCACAGCATTTCTGAACCAGAACAATAAGGAACTGCGAAAATACTGAGTAGAACCTCCTAATTTTTCGCGGCTCTAGCCCAGAAATGCTCAGAGATCGTCTCCGCTTGACCGCAGTCCATCGCTACCTGGACATCTCCCAGGGTAGCAGTTAGAAGAAGTATGGTCCTGCATCACTGCAAACCAGCTCCCTCCCCTAGAATAGACGAAAGTGCCAAGGTGTTTCACACTTTACTCCATAAGTCTTGGAGAGGCACCTGCAGGGAGTGAACCTTCTGCCCCCATCTGCGCTCGACGAAAAGTACCCAAGAGGTCGTGAACGCTTAGGCTACTACTAGATAGTTGTAAAGTTCTGACATAATTCAAGCGCTGTACCTGAATGCCTAACAAAGAGGCGATTTTTAGTAAGGATTGAGTTCGTGGCGCATCCCGGGAACTTTCGTTCTTCCTATCATTCGTACTGTAGGGAATGGCATAGGTTCTTGATATACAGTATACGGGCCAAAGGGGAGAAGATGGTACGAGTGCTGTTAAGCTATGGCATCAAGCCATTCAAGCGGGGTCTCACTAGTGTAATGGATAAGAGCACAGTGCCCGTATAGCACAAGTGCAGGTTCGAATCCTGTCCGAGGTCAAAGTTTTGTCCGTAACTCGCCAACCTTTTGAGACTTCCGTTTCGCGTACTGCGTAAACAACAGTAGTAAACAAAAGCAACAATTCTAATCAAGAAGATAGTGCCTTCATGTTCCTGAACAACACCATCTGGTCCTTCCTCTGGTGCAACCAACCAGCTGTGGAGGAATGGAAGACAGAACATGGACAGGAACTCGTTCGGGTGCTGATCCCCGAACCATCCATGCTGTAAATGTGCATCATGGTTAATTCATTTAAATAAAAAACTGACACCTTAAAATCGTTTTTTCTCTTTTACTACTATGTTTACACTCTCTTTTACAATTTATGCATCCTTGTCAGCTTGTTCCTTCAGTGTAGCTCGTTCTTTCTCCATAATGGCGTTTTCGTTTATACTAATTTTATACTTTGCTACTGACTACGATCCCAGTTCGACTTTTTGACAGATCGGGGTTAATGGATTGACTTATACAGATAGGTCAACAGTACGATTCCTCACTTACCGCAAGTTTACGATGGAATCATGATGCTTAAAGCGCTGGCGATGGAAGCGACTTCCCTGGCTACATCGTCGCCAACTACCTGCGCCATTTCACTTATTGCCTTTCCGACAGTGTCTTGCCTTCGACAGTGTCAGTTATTCGTTTTCTGCTTCACCTTTTTGATGGCTTTACTCAATCCTACCCATTTTATACTAACTTATTTGCTAAAAACCTATTAATTTTAAAGTGTCATGTTTATCTTCTTAACACCCCTCTTGTTTACCTTATTCCTTCCCAAGAGACAACCTAGCGAAAAGCTCCTGCACTTAGTCACAAAGCAGAGAACTTCCCTAGTCAACCCTGAAAGAAAGAGTACTGAGTCTTCAACTTCAGGCACGCAGATACGCCACGCATTCGAGTGTGATGCGAATTAGCATAAGCAATTGATCGCGTGACGTACAGAAAACTACACTCGAGATCAGCTAATTCTTGAGTGGGTATTTCCTGAGGTTCTTTGAGAATGTCTGGTTCCCACTGACACCTAAGAAACAGTCGAGATCTCAAACTGCACAGGTTAGAGCGCCATGATTTGCTTGGTCGAGAACTTTGCTCCCTGGTTCTACACCCTCTTCGGGAGGGCAGCATTACCCTAACTCAAAAAGTCAGCAATCATGTCCTCAGAACTACTCTGGTTGAGAAGGGGGTCCCACTGACAGGATCAATATGACGAAGAGAACGACCACGCTTTTTCTTCCTTCCCTCATATCCTTACATCACTTCCAAAAGCGCTTAAGTGGTTCCCACATGCGGATGCACCTAGAGCGGAAATCCAAGCAGGACTTCTATATCCAGACTATCGACTCAACTAACTTCCAAATATAGCACCTTCCTGCGGTCAATGATTGGGGAAGTAGCAGGTCGTTCTCATTCATTCGGAGGCGATGGTATGCTGTTGGTCGTGCACTTAGTTTCACTTGATCCGGCCCACGACATGTTACACAGCAGACGCAAAAGTGCACTCATTTAGTAAACTATTAAAAGTTCTCTCTAATAATTGATACAAATAGAACGTCATTCAAGTAATATTGAGTTAGAGCGATCAGAGAGCCTTACAGTGAGCACCAACAGAAGCTCGTACTGCGGTACATGATGGGCTCATAAATGACGATCGACTGAGGAGTATGACGTCTTGTGTGACGGAGATGCTTTGGTCTGAAGACACTGACGACATGCCGGCGACAACGAGGAACGTGGTAACGGAGACAGGCGCCCGTGTGAGGAGGCGCCAAAGCAGCAGCAGCCAGCAGCAGCAGCAGCGTTAGAGGCGCCCGAGCACAAGACGAGGGTTATTTACCCCGCCCCAGGCAGCGTCGATCCGCATTGATCTGATCGCTGCTGCCCTCGGTCAACCTACGCTCAAGCACTCACACCACACATACATACACTTGCTCTATATTAATTTATGCCGTGACATACATGATCGTCGTCTGAGCCTCGACCGCCTGCCTACCGATTCCGTCCGCGGCAGCAGTGCTGTTGGCCCTTTTATGAACGGCGTATCGCCTTCTCAAGGGGCCCTTCTGGTGGTGAGATGGATTATCTATCGGTACCCGGAACTCCACAACAGCCTCGACGACGTGATTTGGATGTACCCCGTATGTGGAACGAGCTACGTAAGAAGAGTATAAGCGAGTTGAGTCTAGTATTCGATGTATTCCGTGGACCAAGTCCATCTACCAGTCAGGTAATGCACCCAGACAGGGAGCGAGCTTGTCAGTCGACTGGTAATCTTCAGACTACACCTTCGAAAGGGGGACGTCGTCGGCGGCGGATGCAGAACACATGGAAGGCGCTTTCCGCTTCTAATCTTGCTCGGCATTATGTTCTGGGTAAGACGCTTGTCCTTTTCACTTCCTCATTTTCCTTATGTTCACTGATTTAGTAATTAATTTTCTTTTTACCATTTTGTTTTTTTTTCTTTTTCCCAGAACTAACCTCTTTACTTAAAATTTCCACGAAAACTCCTTTGTAATAGCTTTTGTGCTCGTTTATCAATCCACTGCTGCGATTTATGACTCTTCCGGTACCGCTCTCTTGTGTTCTAGGGATCAATCTATGTCCTGCGATATCGATTACATCTAGGAATTATTGATTGATATAGGAGCTAAGATGTATGTCGGTAAGAGAAAACAATATAACTGGACAGATGACACGGCTGCTGTGAGTAGAGGCGAGAGCCTGGCCGTAAGTGAGAGAAAGTCGAGCGGATAGCAGAAGCAGGCAACGACGGTTTAACGACAGGGGCAAGGTGTGGTCTGTTCTGGTGAATGTCCCTGTGAATGGTAATTCAAATGAGAAAAAAAAACTTTGATGGAAGCCACGAATCGCGCGAATAGTTTATAATTGCCCCTCAAGTATAAATCATAAACATCATGGGGGCTATGAAAATCACGCACATTTCCGATGGGCCGTACGAGTCGTAGGTGTTCCATTTGATTTTTTTTCATTTTTGGGTGGTCCTCAATTTCAATCGTCAACTGATTTCAGTTCAAGAAGAAAAGGCGATGCAGGCGGTACCTACTGCCCCTATCGATGCCAACAAATTTGTCGCCTATGTGACCGAGCGACGGAAAAAGCGAATACTGTTCAAAGGGGAATATCTTGTAAGTTTGAAAGATTTGATATAACAAAGTTCAAGTGCATGGGTTTATACTACCGCGAGTTTTGAGTGATCTATCGATTGATTCCGAATGACTTATTGGTTTTCCGCAATGGCTGACCAATAACGACTCTGTCAGAATACGACCTCCCGTACCATAACTGAGTGCACGACAGTGGACCCCTTCTCCCAGTGCCATTCGCCAAGGCTGTTGGCGTTCTACATCAGCCAAAGAGGAATTTTTATTTCAGTATAATTTATTTTATGGCGCAGTTATACTTAGGTCCATAGAGTCTACCTTACCAGCTGTTTGGTGGAATTTTATTGGACCTTTCACTTTTTTGTTCTGTTTCGTCACCACGTATCCTCTATTGACTGTTCGGCTCCTTTGTAGATTTCATATTTACAAAGTCATAAATTTTGATCCCCTTGTGGTCTCGGACGCTGGGCCGTCACCAACCGCCTAGCTCTGCAGCTTCTGCTTCCGCAAGTATACGGGCTCTTTCTCGGTTTAATTTTGATACTCTGCTTTGAAAGTCGGCAGAACGGAAGCGATTTTTCAGCAGTTTTCAAACTTGCCATTTCATTTTGACATTTGAACTTTGATTATTTGCTTTCAATTGACGCGCGCGTCAAATCTACCGTATCCAAACGTCTAGAAAAATCGTTTGTGCTTGAAAACTCAAGTGTCAAACTTCACACAGCTAAAAATCCCTTCTGTTGATATATACAGCCAGCTAGCTAGCATTGATTAGAGGGTTCGTCGGTTGGTCGTCGTTGCCAATGAGCATCGTCCTCCCGTCCGCAAAACACACCTCAGAGTTGTGTAATTTTCTTTTTTCTCTATTGAAAAACTACAGCCTCGGCAAATGTGTGTGCTGTTCGGTTTCCGAGTAAAACCTACGTCCACGTGCTCATTCAATGGTTACGTGATGTTATATCCGTCCCAAATGATACCCTAATGGGGGCAATAAGCGTTTCAATAAAACGGAATATCAGTTTCGAAATGTCGAAACCCATCTTACCCTTGTGATCCAGACGAGATGTTTGAGCCTTGGCAAAGACGCTGCTGTCATATAGCTAGTAGTAAGCTGTTGTGTTGCACTGGGTGTCAAAGTAATTCTTCAAAGTAGCAGGTGATAAATTTATTTCTGTCTGCAAATGCTCTGAGGAAGTGATTGAGCATCGGAAAGTATTTAAATTCCGTATTCTGACCCCCTGAGGCTTTTTTGGCAAATAGCTGAAGTACAAACTTCATTGGTGAGAGAAAGAAGGAGTTATGGAAGTACATAACCTCTTGGGCAAGGGAATTCGTTGGGTTTTTGTATTATCATCGATTACACAACTTTATCACTTTGACGCGAATCCCCCCTCCCGTTGCTGTTAAAAGGACAAATTTAAGCTTCTCGAAGCTGAACTTGCTACACAACTCCCAGCCTCATTCGTTGGGATTTCGTATTATCATCGATTACATAACTTTATCACTTTGACGCGAATCCCTCCTCCCATCGCTGTTGAAAGGACAAATTTAAGCTTCTCGAAGCTGAACTTGCTACACAACTCCCAGCCTCTTCAAAGGGATCTTACCAGAGTCATGTTTTCCTAAAACAATTGGCCCCATAGGACGTTCTTACCTCTACATGATGATTCTGTTGCAGATGATCAATCGTTCGATAGACGCAGCGAAATGTCGATGTGATGTGGGAAGTACGCTAACGGAAAGGAATCCCTATCCGGTATGGGTGTTCCCCAGGTTTGACACCACATTCGAATCCACTCCTGATGGCTTGATTTTCAGGATACCTTACCGTACGACTATAATCGGGTCATCCTTCCACGTTTACCGTGTGACGAGAATTCCCACTATGTCAACGCCAGTTACGTCAATGTAAGTTAACCCCATGGGTGAAATTTCTCACGATGTTCAAGCTTAGACCTCGAAGTAGACTTTCCTTGAATAGAATATATGTTTTGCAGTCATTTAATAGCCAAAAATCACCCTGGATAAGCCAAATGACTAGGTCTAAACGAAGTTAATACGGCTATTAATACCTCGATTCCTTGTTCTTCTAGCAATTATTTTTATGGATTCAATAAAATTTCTCGACGAAACTATTGATTTAGCCATAAAGTAGTTGACAGTAAACTTTATAGCATTACTACAACTGAAGAGAATTATCCCAAGGTGGGCCTTGTTTTAGAGTTGGCTGAGAGAAAAAGCCTATGTGGTAACACAAGCGGTTCGAACTAAACCGATGAACGTCGAATTTTGGCGTATGGTCTGGGAACTTGGTTCGAATTGCATCGTGATGCTGACCAAAGTCTTCGATTTTATGCGGGTAAGTAATCGATTGACGTCTGAATGTGATACGGTAGCAGTACAGTAGCTCAGTACGGTAATTTGGCGATTACAGGTAATGTGCCTCCAATATTGGCCACTGACACGGTTCACATTTGGGGATATCGAAGTAGAGACGGTCGACACACATACCTATGCCCATTTTGTAAGTATTTTTTGTCTGCTGGAGGGTACGGTAATCGATCCGAGGGAAATAGAGCTCTACCGATCGATTACTCTACCTCGGACGGGAAAAACAGCTGCTGACCAACTGTGCTGATAGCGACGATGACATGTCGGAGGAAACGCCATGTTATTAAAATGCCTGTCGTTAGAGCAAAAAAATTAGCCAGTAACTTGTTCAAAGACAAAATTGCGATCCATTGGAGCAAAAAAAACTTTTCGTGCCCATAAATCTGCAAAGAGACTTTTTTTTTTAAATTTCGTACCGTATCTTACAGTACCTCGAGGGCCAACCGCTATTTTCCTATCCTTTGCAGAGAAACATTTTCATTCAGATTTTGTTTTTTTTTTGGAGTATTTTTACGTTCACTGCGACTCCCAATCGGGTATATACGGTAATTCATCAATAAACACAAATTATAATCCCCCTGAACACTCATATTCGACTTCTACTGCATTTGAGCCTTACAGAACCCTCGTCTGACAATCCTCCCTTTTCGTTAATTTCGATTTTTCAATTCAAATATTTTTTAAAGGCCGATTATTGATTTTATTTTTATTTCTGCATCTCAGAAATGAGGACAGGGCTTACCGTTGTAAAGAGCTTGAATTATTTATTGACTGGTTGCAAAGAATTCAACGCTACCTACTCAATGCCTATGAACTGAGCAGCGATCAAATCGCTTTTCCAGACTTTTCTGAGGGGTAATCCTTAATTCAAACGATGAGCAGTTTCAATTACTTCCACAAAATTGTACCGAAGTCAGAGACGTGGCGCAGAATAAAAATATTATCTGACATTGCTATTATAGAACGGAATATTTTATCTGTGATATTTTTGCTCGACCAAGGCAGTTACATTCACAAAAAAAAACTTTCAATTTCAAATTTTATCATTTATCAATTCATCAATTTCCTGTAAAATGCATCTGAGTGGCATTCCATTTTTTTCTGTTTTTTGGTTATTTTTTGTTTTTTCCAATCAACTCTTGGGAACCCATTTTGTTCTGACTCTTTACTTCATTCCTTCATCTTTACAAAGCGGGATTACTTATGCCTTCATCTCACTGCCTCTATTTCTGTCTTCTGCTTTTTTCTATCCTGGCTATTCTCCAAGTGTAAGCCCTAACGTAAAATTCCACATTCATACAGTGGAAGTAAATATTTCAATGTCACTTTCACTTCACAGAAAAACTTCTACTGTATTTTGTTGGCAAGTTTCCAAAAAATGTAGGATTTTCACCTTGTACACTTGCCCTGTCTGAGGTGCCGGAATTTTGGCCATAACTCACCAATCTGATTGGATTTTTTGGGTTTCCGCCGCAGTGCAGTCTCATAACTGGATGATTTTTGGCACCTATCACGGGGTATGGCGGTGATACGGTAGTTGGCATTCTTCTGATCCATCTCAGCCCGCGTAATATATTGTTATCCATTAACAAAACCATTTCTAATTTGGTATGGGCTTTGTAAATCATAACAGAGGAAGAAATCCTAGCATATGGGATTGCTGCTTCCTTTTTTTTCGAGTTCTGCTGACATTCTGTTCCGTTTTCATATTGGTCAGCAGGGGTTTTCGACTTTTTGCTTAGCCATTCATAGCAAAGCATTGTTTGTGAAGAGGTTAGAAATCATCAACATCATTGATCTCTTGGGGATAGCGCCATGACTCTGACTTCCCTCAAAAAGATGCTTCAACCTTCAAAGTCCCCATAAGCCTGTACCTGGGACAAAAGTTTACACTAACGATTCAGAATTCCATTATCCAATGAAAAAGCAACAAGGTGGATGAATGGCCGTGTTCACCCGGTAGGGTTAAAGTGGCTTATCTGTTTTGGTGAGACTTCCATATCTGGTGGTTCCTCTAGAGAGTTCGATTTCGAGGGCATCCTCCATTCTCACACTTATAAGCAGGCAATACTTCGCCCGAAGTTATTTCCGATCAATATATTATCCAATTTTTCTGTTTTATTTGTGTAATATTTCCATCGATTCGCCCAGTTCATTGATTGCTTCAAGTTCTTCTCAATCCCGAACTAGAGGGAAACCCTTGGCGTGGGCAGTTCAACGATCAGTTCTAGGCCATATCTTTTACCTCTATGACAAGTTCAATTCAAAGGCGGATGTTTAAAATCGTTTTTGAATGTCATTTTCTTGAATCCACATGAACTTATTTTATGTTTGTGCGTCATCAGTAGACATAACAGTTTAGTTGATGAGTTAATTACCTACACAGCCGTCAGAAATCAATGGAAAATATGCATGAGGCTGTGAAATGGGTTCATATGACAAAGGGGAACTAATCTTTCTGAATGTCTTTGTTGACCATCTCCCAGAAAATTCATAATCAGAAATAATTTCTGGCCACCTACCGGTAAATCGGAATGATATCTTACGATACCGTTTGATACTTGTATCGGAGAGGGTTCGGTGCATGAACAAAAAAAAAAGGAGAAAAACGCGGAAGAAACTGAAACGGATCTAAGATTGGCCATTTGAGGGAAAGTTTGCTGTTTGTTCGAGTCCTCTTAGGAAGGGATTGCCTGAGGGGTACGCCTACGCATTCGACTTTTATTCAGAATCGTAGTGGCTTATTGAATGCGTATATGGCCTATACATACAAAGACCTGGCCAGCCGTTGTACAAGACAGTGCTTTCGTCCTCCCAGACGGGTCTAGTACCAGTTAACCGACCCCGGAGGAATGGAGAGCTCGGTTCTCTTAGACGAATATCGATCCAGATTCGAAACCGTGACCGTGCATGTGTGGTAATACCCCACTTGCCACCACACCTCTTCCGCCCGTGTTCTTCAATAGATAATAAAGATCAGAAAAACTGAAAAAGCCAGATGCCTCTTGTTAGGCCCGAAATTGGTCGTTTTCGACCCCAGGCGCTGCTCAAAATTCCCGAACTTCTGTTCTTACAGTTTTATTTTTTCCAAAACCATTAGATTCAAAAAAACGTCGCTGACGCAGTAGTGACGTCAAAGGACTTTGCAGATTAATGGCAGTGAAATAACTTTTAATTCTGCACGACTTCATAGACCTATTTTTTTGCTATTTTCAGGTAATTCGAACGTTTCGATTGACGAGGAAAATTGGCGAAAACCAGGAGTCACGAATTGTTAAACATTTTCATTTTACGGAATGGGAGCTTGATTCGTTTCCTTACATCTCAGCATTCATCGAACTCCGCCGGCGAGTCCGTCAATTTACCGATAAAAACCCCGTCGATGCACCTATTATCGTTCATTGCAGGTGCGATTCATATGTTTAGTTATCGTTTATTATCGTCGGTATTATTCGCTTCAAATTTTTCTTTGCTGTTTTGATTTCGGCTGAATTCAACTCCTAGCCAGCCAAGTTCAACTCAAGAGGGGAAACTTGCTGCTATCTTTGCTGGTTTTCCGGAAAGCAAATTCCTATCTCCTGCAAGTTGCACGTATTACTATGTAAGTGGGAAAAAGGTATGGGAATCCCCTCCTGGTAGTAAGGAATTCACATCGAAAGACCCATAAATCCTCAGTATTGCCGTCTGCCATCGTAACACATTTCAAGAGTTTACTCTTTTGCGGGAACTTTTTTCCAACCCCCTATCGAGCAAGTTCTCAAACTGCTTACCAAGCCAATTGTACCTCGAGGTCGCCTTCGAGGAGGTAGTTCGAGCTGAAGGCGTCAACGAGAAGCTTGAACTCACGGGAACCTTCACATGAATTATTTTGCTTTTACTCGAGGGGCATTCACGATTCGGGAGATGGTTGGCAGCGCCTACCCACTCACAGCCTTATATAGGACCTATAGTGTCCTGAAGTGCGAGACAAAATAGCTCCTTTTTTGAACATTCCAAGCACGATAGCAATAGCGGTATTGATTAATGCCGGCGGTACGACTGACACAAAGTATGAACGGCAAAAAGTACTGCGATAGGACCAAAAAAGATGATATTCTCGATCGAAAGCTTTTATTACGTAGATCATCTGTAATAGGTGATTTTCTAAACTTGATTACTGTTTTGTGAAGTACCCGTAGAAAAAGGCCGGTCAGGTCAGTTGGTAGACGTTTCATCCTCCTCGAACTCGTCTCCGACGAAGACAATTCTTGCTGGTAAAGTTGTCACATCGTAGTCGAGCACATGAGGCCGGATAGGCTTCGTTTAGTGAAATATTATGTGTCAGAACATAGTCCTTCACCCAGTAATCGACCTGAATGTGAATGATTTGGGAGCTCACCAACGTTACTATGCAACCTTCAAAAATTCACCTGCATCCGAGTGAATTCGAGTAGAAATTTTGCTGCACTTTTACCTTCACCAGGTGGACAGACTTTTTCCAGTACAAAGTTGGTACAGGCATGATCACAGAGCAATTGACGACATCTGCATCATGCTATATAAAACGAATTACAAAGGATCATTTGATGAATTCAGATGAGCCGAGTATAGCTCAGTGGCTAAGAAAGCTGTGCTACCAATCCCCTTCTCATATGGCCCTTTCCCACCAAAGTCCTTTTTAGCCAGAAATTTCCTTGCTAAAGTAGCAAAGTGTATATTGCCCCTCCCCTCTATCCCAGTATATTAGCGAAGCACTGGCGCGATCGATGTTTTTTTCGATTCTGGATGGAGATCAGGTGCAAGGCGCATGCCGTTGAGAACAGTACGGAGCCGCTTTCATCTCAAGTTGTTACATGCTTAAAGGCAAACCTTTTGAAGAAAGCGATAACTGAGGTTCCCGGGTAGAAACCGGGTAGAAATCTGTGGTTTCAGTGGTCTTATGAGGCATTCTTGGGTCAAAAGCGGGCTATACAGGGCACAATGAGGGCTTGAAGCCGAGTTCTGCCCCACCACCATTTAAAACTCCCAAGAAAGGACGTGTTTTTTGGTCTTGTAGGGGCTGACATTGTTCACAAAGGAGCATATTTGTTGTAAATGCAGTCAGCTGGTAAATGCTGATATCTCTCAAACGTTGTTCTGCAGCAACTGAAATCTGATATTATAGCCCTTTCGAGAGCGGAACCTAGAGATTGGCTAGAGTCTCCGACTTGAGATTTCTACCAATTTCTCGTTTTTTCATCTCTTAAAAAGCAAAGTAGCGAATAGGATATTGCAACCCCTCTATCCCTATATATCAACCAAGCATCGACGCGTCCGATTCTGGGTGGAGGTCAGGGGCAAGGCGCATGCCGTTAAGATCAGAACGGGGCCACTTTCATCCCAGGTCGTCGTTACATACTTGAAGAATTACTATGAGCCAAGCTGCATCATCGCTTCCTATAAACCGAAAAAAAGCACCATGAACTTCCTCGAGCTGTGCCCACTCAAGTCCGACTTCATGACCAACAACTATTGCTGACGTAGGCACTGTGTGCGGGCGCTTTTTCCACACCCTAGCCAGGGACTAGACGACAACAGTTTTCAACCACGTCAGTAAAATTACGCCGAAGGGATGGGTAGGCATAATTTAGTATCCTGGCCCTTCAAAGATTGTAACCACCTACTAAATTAATCCATACATCATGAATACCTTTAGAGATCCCGATTTCAGGTCGCTGAATACACCCATATTCAATTGGGAGTTACCCTCCGATGTGGGGCCCTGGACGATTAAATTATCTTGAGACTCTCCTAATTGAGTGTCTCCCTCAGTAACTTATGTACTGTCGGATCTAGATCGAAATCGGGTCGAAGTGTTTCTGCCCATTTTGCCCCACCTTTTCACGTTACCGACGAATTTGATTCAGATTCGAGAAAATGACCTTTCCAATGAGATTGATCTGCCCGATGCTTTTCCGTTTTGTTCCATTCCAGAGATCGGATGCGTCTAAAGACTCTTTTTTCGTCCCAGATGTGCTCACATGTGGAGCTCTTGGGCAGAATCAGTCCCCTCTCTTTTGTTTATTTATTTTCCATCGACTATTCGTCATAGAAATGATGTGAGCTTCTTCTGTAGTGAAAACAGATCGGCTCCAAGGTACACACACAGCCTCCATACGACTTTTAAGAAACCACCAAGAAGAAAGAGAGCCGCATGACGTTGTCGTTACACTCGGTTCAGTGTAAAAGGGCGGATGTGAAGCGTAAAAGAAACATGAGAAATGAGTGTCAGGAGGATTGAATGAGAGTGAATTCTGAGAAATATCAGTATTTAGTCGAAGGGTGTTGGCTGATTACCAGGAAAAGGTTGTCTGGAGGTGGAAAAAGAGGTAAGGAGGCTGAAAGGCAGCTTACTCGTGGCTACAATACGTCCTACTGCTACAGAAATTACAGATTTTTAGTTTTTGAGCATTTTGGTGGCGACAAGGGCAGTTAAGCTCAAGTAGATGGCAAAATTCATTTCCTCCTATCCATCAATGCACGCCCTTAACCATTATGTAAGCCTCACAAGGTTGGCGACTTATGGACAGAACTTCAGTCTCGGATGGGACTCGAACCCGTACTGCGGCGATGTAACAGCAGTCAACAAAAATCAAGTCAAAACATTATGTAAGCTACTACTACAATCAATAGTTTGGGTGATTTTAAAGTGGAATTGAATGCATTGCTCGTTCCAGAGCAATTTCTGACGCTTATAGCTACGCTTTCGTTTTTGGTCTAAAAACCGACTCATACAAAGTCTTTTTGAGAGTTTCTTGAAATATTCGGTATAGTAGGCTCTCCCGAGTACAACACTTGGTTTTTTTTTNNNTTTTTTTTTATTTTTGCTCAAAAAAGTAGTAAGCGGAAGGTGTAGGACAGAAAGGAAAGGGAACGGTAAAACTATCCGGATGACTTCAATCGGCATTGATATTCCTTGATTATTGCTCGAAACTTATTCACACACTGCTCAATTTTTGAACCCAATGCTTATCTCTATGGGGTTCTCGTGGGTATGTCTTTAAGGCTGAAAAACTGAAGCTGAATGCCAACCATAAAACTTATGGGCGAACTCGAGTAATCACAAAAAAATCTTTCGCTCATCGCTAAATTTACATTTAAGAGAAAAATAGGAAATTTTTCGGTCCTGAGAGTTGTTCCGTAGACATTTATAAATTTCACTCACAGCAAGAAACGATTAGGAGGCCACTAAGGCAACAGGAGGCTTTTTCAATAAATGAAGAGCCCGCTCTGATTCCTCGGATTCTCCCGCCCTTCTCTCCCTTCCCTCCGGCTTATACCCTTGACTCCATCGGAAGAGTTTTTCCATCACCATTATAAAAATCGATTCTATAAATTAACCGAACGTACCTTTGCGCATATCCCAGTGGAGTATGCTGCAGTGGGGTGTAATCGCCACATCTGGAACGGCAATGTCGCGAAAGGATGGGAGCTGCTCGAGCGTAGCAGGGAAGGTGGCTGGCCATCTGTAAGTATTAGTACTTCTTCATTAGTAGCATTGTTCAGTAATAATGACAAGTCCCTTACTTACCTCCTTGAAACGTTTCTTGCAAACAAATTCCCTTAGATTGAACTGTACCGTATAGCCACATTCATCTACACACTGACTATGCTGGCGATCCAGCAAGCAGAACAGCTCCAAATCACGTTGATCCACTACCGATGGCACGTCGATACTACCGAATGCCATATGAGCCTGAATAAAGGATAAAGAGTAAATTCTCTGGGACTTATTCAACTCTGTCTGAGGCATGCGCCACGCATTCTACTTCCATTCAACATCGCAATGGCGTATGGAATGCGTGTGCGGCCGACACAATGACCCGCGATGGCCAGCCAATGTGCAAGTCAGTGCTTTTCCCCTCCAGACGGGTCTGATATCAGCTCACGGGCCCGGGAGTGATGGAAGGCTTGATTGGCCAAGGTGGAAATCCGACTCCGTGGCCATGCGTATGCGATAGTGCGCCACTTGCCAATATACATCCCCGTTCTTTGTCATTTATGAGGCTAAAATCCTTTATTCCTACTCTCCTTTCACTTCTCTTCATTTCCTTTTTTCCAAGCGTATTTCCTTTTTTACTTAAGCGTTTTGCACTCCCAAAGGTTCATAAACTTGACCTTGCTAACCCTTGA